ACCTCAATAAGTTCAAAAGAAAGAAGTGTTTAAAAACGTTTTTTTCAAAAAGACTCATCACAAAGTTTGACTTCTATTGAAACCAATGATGATTTTATACATACAGGACTAAAAGAGAAATCAAATTTCTTTCTCAAATTTTGTGTCTCACATGAGATGTCAACATTTGAAAAAATGGTTATGAAGAACATTAACCAGATTAAACCTATTGGTAAAAATGACTACAATTTAACCCTCCAAGAAAGAAAGGCATTAAAAGATTTTAAAGATGATAACACACTGGTTATAAAACCAGCAGATAAGGGAGGGGGCATTGTCCTTGTTGAAAGAACCGATTATATAGATGAATCTAACAGACTGCTGAATGACCCTATGACCTACATAGTTTTGAAAAAAGATCCAACAAATGAAATTAAAACAAGTTATATCAAATTGATAGACAAAGGGAAGCTAATGGGCATTCTCAATAAAAAAGAATCGGAATTCCTGAATATACAACATCCTAGGGTTCCGGTATTCTACTATTTGCCCAAAATCCACAAGAATTTAACTAAGCCACCCGGACGTCCTATCATTTCGGGAATTGGGTCCATATCCAGCAGACTGTCTCAATATATAGATCAATGTTTACAACCCATAGTTAAGAATTGTGTTGGCTATTTGAAAGACACCATTAATATCCTTCAAGTGCTCAAAGACATTGAATGGGAAGATGAATATTGGTTAGTTACAGCAGACGTTAATTCCCTTTACACTATTATACAGCATGGTAAAGGTTGTGAAGCAACCAAATTTTTTCTCGAGAAGTCCGGTATTTTTCCTCAGCTTCAAATCGATTTCATTTTAGATAGTATTGAGTGGATCCTCTGTAACAATTATTTTTGGTTCAATTACATCTTTTACCTCCAGACTTGTGGAACGGCGATGGGCACCAGGTTTGCACCCAGTTACGCCAATCTTTTCATGTCCTATTGGGAACAGTTGTTCATCTTTGGCGATCATAGATGGGGTGCAAACCTGGTGTCCTACCACCTGTACATAGATGATATTTTTTTTATCTGGAAGGGGAATAATGAATCCCTCGAACATTTTTTTTCACATTTAGGGAATAATGACTGGGGTATAAAACTCTCTAGTAATATCAGCAAACATTCAGTTGAATTTCTAGATTTGAATATTTTCATTGAAAATGATACAATTAAGACCAGTACCTTTTTTAAAAAGGTGGATGTGAACAGCTACATCGAAGAAAGTAGCTGCCACTATTCACCCTGGCTTCTGAATGCCCCAAGGGCTCAATTATTGAGAGTTAGGCGTAATTGCACCGATACCATTAAATTTCAGGAACAAGCACAGAAAATTATGACTGACTTTTCAGATAAAGGCTACAATAAACAGTTATTGGATAATGCCTATGAGGAAATAATGACTAGGGAGAGAGAAAGTCTCCTACAATATAAAGAGAAGACAGTTCCCTCTATAGATAGTGAACTGGCCTTTATTTGTGATTTTAATGTTCAGAGTAATTTAGTTAAAAAGATAATTTGTAAACATTGGCCTATTCTTAAAAGCGATGAGAAACTCAATAGCTTTTTACCAGCACGTCCTAAAATTACCTATAGAGGAGTATCCAACTTGAGAAATAGTCTCTCCAATAATAATTCAAATAGAAACAAAGAAACTATAAATCCATTTAATGAATCTAAAGGTTTTTATGGTTGTGGGGTTTGTGGCGCCTGTAAGAATACCAATAATAGCAAGAGGCATATTAAAGAATTTGTAGATGTAAAGAATCCTAAAAAAATTTATAAAATAAAAGACATCATCACTTGTTACACTAAAAAGGTCATTTATATGTTGACGTGTCCATGTGGCCTTTTATATATAGGCCGCACTGCACGTCCCCTCCAAGTTAGAATACAGGAACATATTAGAAATGTGAAAAATGGATTTATAAAACACAGTGTATCACTCCATTTTAAAAATGTTCACAATAGCGATCCTAAAAAAATACATTTCATGGGAATTCAAAAGGTAGTTCCGGATTGGAGAGGTGAAGATTTGGTGAGGAAGATGGGAAGGGCTGAGATGAAATGGATATTCCAATTGGATTCCTTATACCCCAAAGGTTTAAATAATGATTTTGAATTATGTCATTTTTTATAAATTATATATATATTTTTTTTTTTCCTTTCTCTCAGCCCTCCCACATCTATATATTTCCCCATAAGGAAACACTATATTAATATATAATCAATATGATCAATAATGTTGTGTATTTATATTTGGGATTACTATATCCTTGTTACACTCATTTTACAATGAGACTAAGGTTAAGTAATTTATGGAACATTTGTTCCCTTTATACTAACTATTTTAGACATAGTATTGCAGGTGATTATGTTTATTTTGTTACTCCATTTGTACAAATTGGATAGACTACAATTCAAGTGCTGAGTTGATGTTCTCTTCTTTCTCTTCTATTTTTCCCGTCCTTACAATGCCCCCTTTATTATGGACTGACGGAATGGAGACTGGCTGGCTTTTGCCAGCATTAAATATGGAGATCGGCGGGGACCGGAAGTGACGTCGCGGCTGTTGCGATACGTCACTTCCGGTTTCGAGTGAATCAACAATAGAAGCCAATGAAGATTGCACTGTTATTGGATGGTAGACGGCGGGAAAATTAAAGTATTTTGACCAATGAGGAGGTATCCTACAGTATTTAAAATGGCACATTATAACAGCAGGACACCGATTGAAAAAGCCTGGACATAAGGCGAAACGCGTCTCGGACACTGGATAACAAGGACTTTCTTTTACTTGGACCATTACTTAATGGTATTTTATCTATTTTTATGTATATGTAATAAATTTATTTTATATTTTTTTACATCTAAGTTCCTTGAAGTGTTACTTTCCTGCTGCATAAAGAAGAGTGGTGCCCTCTTAAAGGCACAGTGCCGTTACAACTGAGAGCCCAGTATATATTGGCTCTCAACTAGGTGAGCATACATCTTTATTCATGTGCATTGCTCTATTGATTTTAACGATATCACACAAGGATTTTCTATCCTTTTGTTTCTCTTTTTGAGCATCTATACAAACAAGATTGAAGAAGTTGGGTATTCACTATAAATACCACTGTGACTGTGATTTGAGCCTATCCTCTCCAGGCTCTCAACCATGTGAGTTTGTTAAAATTCAAGTTTCACCCTAAATCTTGCCAAGTCTCTACATACTGCACCAATTGTTGTTCCCCATTTCTCTTTTCTTAGATATATTCATGAGCATATATACATCCCTTTATATAAGGGTAAGTTGTTATTTATACCATTAGCGCTCCACTGGGCTTTGTTGGTTGTGACTATTGGTCTCACCTATAACGCTCCACTTTTTCTTTGCATGTTTCTGTGTTAAGGTTGGAGGTACCTACACATGTGTTGAGCTGCTTACCAAGATTTGGATCTTATATTATATTTCACTTTAAGCGCCTGTATTGCACAGATTATTGTATTATTTCTCTATGTAGTTTTAGACAAAAAAATTTTAGGGAAACATAACTATGCTCTTGTTTTAGAGCAAAGGTGCCCAAAAGGTAGATCCCCAGATGTTGTGAAACTACAACTCCCATGATGCTTTGATTGCCTTTAGAATGACAACACATCATGGAAGTTGTAGTTTTAAAACATCTGGAATCTACCTTTTGGGCACCCCTGTTTTAGAGAGTTCTTAGAGATTCATGTTTTAGGTTTTTTTCTTTACTGTTTGTCCATTGGAAGATCAATGCCTCTAAAATGGTAACCAGTTATCTTAAAACTCATTGCTTTTTCCTTATCCACCAGTTAGCAAACAAACACTGTAAGATGACTTATGAAATTGCTTCTTTCAAGCTAGGTTGAATTCTGAGGGTAGGTATTTGCTAAGCTTAGCACAACAGTGAATCTGTTTCATATTTTTTAACAGAAAAATAAAGAATAGTCGGGTCATTTTAATATAATATTTTATTTTATGTAAACAGAATAGTAGATTTGTGTCCATTTAGAATTTCTGCAAACGCACTTGCCATATTTTCTAAAATGAATATATTTAAATAGTTAATATCTCCTTCAACAAATACAATTAAATTATTTCATGATAAACAAACTAAAGGAAATAAAATGCCTGCTGTCTGCCCAAAATACACTGCAAATAAATACATATATAAATAAAAGGTAAATAACTCAATAATAAAACATTTCCAAGTAAAACCAAATCACAAATAGAAAAACTACCAAAAAGAACATCTCTTCAAACAATTTCCAATGACAGCAGGATTTACATTGTTCACATTTAACAAGAGAATGACAGTGTATTTCTCTACTCATACAGCTTTGATGGATGGAATCCAAATTCCAAGGAAACATTGTTCTCTACAACAGAGGATGAAATAAAAAGCAACAGAACACAAAGCTATGAGGAAATGCTATATGAATAAATAATATGTGTGTGTGTGTGTATTCAAATGTTTAAAAGGTGTTCCAATGTAATATAAGCTTAGATGTCCTTAATGAAAAATAGGACAAATGTGAAGATATCTCTTTATAAGCCATAATTGACATACTTAGCTACATATATAATTTATACTGATTTACTATATATTTACCCTTGTAATTAGCACTCATGTAAACATACATGGAAATATACACCTTGTCACAGCATTGGTTTGGATTCATTAACAGATAAACTAGATCTAAGAGTTAAAGGGACACTATAGTCACCTGAACAACTTCAGCTTAATGAGGTTGTTCAGATGAGAACTATAGCTCTCTGCAGCCTTTCTCATGTAAACACTGTATTTTCTGAGAAAATACAGTGTTTACATTGAAAGCTAGGAACACCTCCAGTTGCAGTCACTCAGAGTGAACCAGAGGGACTTTGGAATTGATGGAGGCATAATATGCCTCTATCCACTCAGATCTGCTGTCAGCAGAGCACAGGGCAGCACTGTGCACAGCATCCTGTGATTCAGTATCTTCTCCCTCTGCATGCAGACACTGAACTTTCCTCATAGAGATTCATTGATTCAATTAATCTCTATGAGGAGATGTTGATTGGCCAGGGCTGTGTTTGAATCATGCTGGCTCTGCCCCTGATCTGCCTCTTTGTCAGTCTCAGCCAATCCTATGGGGAAGCACTGTGATTGGATTAGGCTACCACATCAGCAGACTGCTTGTTTTTCTAAGTCTAACAGCATGCAGATTTACAGCTTCAGGCTTGAATACAGTAAGAATTTTACTATATTTATGGAGGCATGAGGGGCCCAAGGGGGCTAGATGATGGTGTTAACAGTATAGGGTCAGGAATACATGTTTGTGTTCCTGACCCTATAGTGATCCTTTAAAATATCGTGGGAGCTACCCAGATTACAGATGTCAGGCTATACTTTTTTTTTATTGAAGACAAAAAAAGGATTGTGAACTTTAATGGCACTATTTTATGGGGGTAACATATAAATCTGGTGCCAAGTTCTGAAAGGAGAGCAAACAACAGTAACATCATAGATAATGGTTCATTATAACTTGCTAATTATAAATTGGAAAAACAGAAAAAGAAAAAAAAAATCTTACATTTAACATAACTTTTATTAGGTATCAGATAAAAAAAGCAAACAATATGTAGTGAAATAAAACATACAATAAGATATCCCTACATTACTAGACTGCTGTTTTTCAAGTATAAAGACAGCATTTTTTTCTTTTTCTGTTTTTCCTATTTATAATTCCCTATTTATGGTTTATCTCCATTTTCTTTTGTGTTTTCTTCTTAATATTTAGGCTCCTCTTTTTAAAATATTATAACTGGCTAGTAATAACATTACAAATGCTAAACATAATACAATGGAACAGTTAAATTTTTTCTGTTTTGCCATTTTTTTTAAAATTAAAAAGAGCATAGGGGAAACAAATTGGGAGATTAAACTATAATTAAATCTTAATGGGGGTTTGATTTCTCCATTTGTTTCCTTTTAAGCTCTCAATTATTTTTTTTCACATATGATTATGATTATTAGTCTTCTGCATTCTGTTCCAAATATATTTCAATTCATCTGAATTTGAGCAATCGGTGGGTTGTTTGAATTCTGTAACTCCGTAGCTCCATATGGACATATGGCAATACAAATAACATGGATACTTGAGAAACAGTTTACTTTGTTTCATAATTCTGAGTTATACCTGTGGCGTGAAAAAAAGAGATGACTAATGGAATAAAAAAGATGATTGGTGGAGAGGCGGAGCTAACCACCATGCTGCATGGTCGCATGTCTCCTGTGCTCCGGTATAATGGAGGTGATACCTGCTGAACCCACCGCGACACTGCATGCTGCAGTAGACTATGGGGAAGCATTCTCGAAAATCCCAATGCTTGGGATATCAGCCTTTTTCTCACAGCCAAGCAGGCCCAAAATGGCCAAACTGATACCTGACTCACCTCATGGCTCCACATCAGTCTCAGAGGACAAGGCAGAGGAACCTACAGAGCTCCGGGAATAGCCTTGAGGCTGCAAAGCCCTACTCAAATAACAATCTTAATCTCAGTGGGCTACTAAAATAGATATCATCATGATGACCACGGATATTTTTTCTCCTCCAAAATGGGAGTGTTAAAAGCAGACCTGAACACACTATCTGGCAGAATAAAAGCCCAGAAGGAAAATATCCATAGCCTAGGCATCCAGCAGAATTTCACAGGGTATCTAAAAGATGTACAGCACTCAATGTCAAAGTGGGGCAGCTCAAAGATATTGCACACCAATACAACCTAAAAATCAATGGGATCCCTGACACCATTGACTCTGGTGAACTGCCACAATTTATCAGATGCCTGATGTCTGCTAACTTCCACCCAAGCAGGCCAAGAACCTATTGTTTGATGGAATTTACTGAATATTCGGGAGACTTAGCTTTTTTTGACTAGTGAGCAGCTACATTGTTAAAACCCTCCCCTATAGAAATATAAAGGTCGGATTAACCACCCAGCTGGCCAGCATGTTTTGTATCAGAATTAAGTTTAAGTATAGAGATACAGCTGTTAATCTACCAAAAAAGACACTAATATGATACAGATAATTATGTTACCTCTGGGGCCTTCACATGGATGTCTGGGGGTCTATACCATTTTGCATCCTACTCCTGACTGTGGATTCCTCACCAAAGATGATCTCCAGGACTCAGTGTAAGTATTCACTAAGTAACTAGGTATTTCTGCTTTATTAACCAATGCAGTGAATAAAAAGCATAAAAATAAAAAAATAAAAATAAAAACTAGATTTCCACAGACATTCCATAGTGCTGTGGAAAGCCTTTCCAGAAGAGTGTCACCTGTTAAAACTCTAGCAACTCCAGGGGGTGAGAGCTAAGCAGTGCACCAAGGCAGATGCACCTTCTTGCAGCTCTGAGTATCAACTTGCAAAATTCTTCTCTAACACCAGAGGCTTAACATGTATTGGAGCACAAATACCTCCAACACGTTGGGGAAGTTATACCAATTTGGCGGATGCCCTTCTTTTTCCCTGCAAGCGCTAAAACTCAGTGCCGAGGACTTTGTGCCCACCACGTGGAAAGCCAGCGGCTGCCTAGCATCTATCCGCATGGACAAGTGGTCATAAATACGACATGATCTGTGGTGCAAGTTATGTAGAGTTTATTAGAAATTCTTTTTCCACTATGTGGATAAGCAAAAGTGGAATAAGTAAAACATCACATAATATATTTTTACCATTAACCTTTCACACAGGTACCATAAAGATCAAAGACTCAATACAAAAACATTGGAGCATTCTTCAATCGCAGATCAGTTTGCCAAAAAGATTTCATGAACAAACTATCATTAGTTCTAAACATAATCAAAATCTTAGAGACCTGTTAGTACAGAATTACCTATGTCAATGTTACGCAAAACCACCATTACAAGAAAGAAAGGTTGCTACAAATGAAGTGGATGTGTCACATGAAGCCATTTGACAAGCGGTTCCATTTTGCTTATCCACAAAGTGGAAAAATAATTTCTATTGAACACTACATAACTTGCACCACGTATATATATGATCACTAGTCCATGCAGCCTTTCATAAGTGGAAAAAAATGGCTTGATACTGAGAGATCGCATTAGAGGACACCGATCGAGTATAACTATGGCATTCCAAGATCAAAGAACTGACAAGCCTGTAGCTAAATATTTCCTGGCCGCTCAACACCAACTACCAACATTACAATTTATAGCGATTGATCATGTGGAGGAGACAAGTCCAATTTGTTGCTGCAATGCAAGGCTTTATGGATTTAAAAAAAAAATGGTAATTATAACCACTATAACTATAACCACTTATATAGTTACATAGTTACATAGCTGAAAAGAGACTTTCGTTCATCAAGTTCAGTCTTCCTCATATATGTTTTTGCTGTTTTTGCTGTTGATCCAAAAGAAGGCCAATTTTGCAAAAAACTAGAAAAAAATTCCTTCTTGACCCCAAAATAACAGTCAGATGTCTCCTTGGATCTTGGATCAAGCGGCTATTACCCCACTAATTAGAAATTATATTAATTACCCCACTAATTAGAAATTATATTAATTATGTTATGTTTTTGCAAGTATTTATCCAATTGCAGTTTAAACATCTGTATAGACTCTGACAAAACCACCTCTTCAGGCAGAGAATTTCATATCCTTATTGCTCTTACTGTAAAAAAAAAACTTTTCTTTGCCTTAGATGAAATCTCCTTTCTTCCAGCCTAAATGTGTGACCTTGTGTCCTATCTTTAGCCCTGTTTATGAAGAAATTTCCAGATCAAGGTTTATACTGGCCCCGAATATATTTGTATAATGTTATCATATCCCCTCTCAGGCACCATTTTTCCAAACTAAACAGATTAAAAATCTTTAACCGTTCTTCATAACTAAAATGCTCCATTCCTTTTATCAATTTTGTAGCTCGTCTCTGCACTTTTCATCGTCTTGAAACTGTGACTCCAAAAGGACTTAATGAAAACCTTTTATACTTTATGTTCCTTTAAGATATTTTAATTTCATAACCATTAGACAGATAAACCCCTAGGACAGGCAAATGTAACCTTCAGCACTGCAGATGTTTTGGACTACACCTCCCATGATGCTTTGCTGGCATTATGTGTTTAAGAGCATTATGGAGTGCCGAAAGTTGCCTATCCCTGCCCTAGGATCTGTATACCTGGTAGTTAACTTTGTTGCCAAGGTTTGCATACACCAGTTTCACTATTGATTTGACACATATGATTAGTTATGTTGCTTATATACAACTATTTGTTGATTGTGTAATTTGTCTGACTTATTTTGCAGCCTGACAGGACACAGTTGTATCCCTCTTCTTTATAGTTGAGTTCCCTATAATATATTTAATCAAATTTCAGTTTGATATAAGCTTCTTTCACCAGCTTGAATTCTTCCAGGCCATTTAATTGTCCCCTCTCCTGTGCTGGCTCACACATACAGGTATTCTGTTTGTTATTTATTATTTGATATTCCTGTTTGTTCCATATTATGGCCCTTTTTCTTTTGGACTGGTGTCCTTTCTTTAGAGATGTAAACTATGGTGTGCTACAGCACAGGACACTAGACAGTGGACAGATATCCTTCTTTGTATTTTATTTTACTTTATTAGTGTATATTGTTGATTTATATGTGTATATTCTATTTAGTTAGATATGATATATATAAGATTCAGTATGCTATTCCAGGTTGTGAATATGCTATTTATACCTATGAGTTATGCCACTTGATATCGGAGGCTGGTGGATCACCATTCCCATTACTTTTTCATTTTTCACGTTGTTTTCTTCGCCACTTTGTCACTTTTACTGCATGATTATTCACTACCACTACACTTTGCCTTTGTCCCTTCCTTCTATCCCCCCTTCCTCTTTCCACTGTCTTAGTCATTATTAGCGTTTTTTATTTCTATTCTCTCCTCCACATTAGATACCTGTATTCTTATTAGTGTTGTCTATTTGGTCTCTTAGCAACCTCAATATGTGGTTGCCGATAGGTCACTTAGCAACCACGCACAACACGGCACACGCACTGCACTCACTTGGGTTTTGCACACTTTCAGGTTGAATCAGTCTTATGGCTGTCCTATCACTGGATGGGTACATTTTTCTTTTCTTATAGATACCATATTTATTTC